GGGTGTTAACAGTTAGCTTGCCACTAGGAATGCAAAGGAGTCTAAACATAAAAAGCGTGAACTGACAGAATGTGTTGAATGTGACAAAGACTCGCAAGTGTTGTTGTTTCGTAAATGAGGATAAGGCTGCTATAATTATTGAAGACTTACAATTCTAATATTTCTCTGTTGGCAGCAACACAGTATACTAGCATAAAAATGAACTTATGTAAGATTGCAAGGTTGCCAAAAATAGTCGTGTAAATGTTAAAGGTTAGTTATATCATGTAGACTCGGAAGAATGCTGATTAAAGTTCGATAGACCACATCCTGGTGTGTTTTATTTTAGCAGAAAATGTTTGCAAAGTGAAACCTAGTTTAATTTAGGCATCAAATGCAATTTCAGGGTGGCAAAACTGGATTTTCTAAATCAATTTTCTGGTCGTTCTTTTATTTTTTAATGTAATAAGTTGAATTAATTCTATTCCACAGCATACTGATATCTGTGAGGTAAAAATGCCATGTCGCTGATAGAAAATGGTTGCTTGTTTTGTATATGAAAGGCTGGTTTTAGCTATTTATGGGCGGTACCCAGATAATAAAAGACGCGTTACGTATCTTGTTTTGAGGCTATTTCAAACGCTTCAAGTATATGAAAAGATGACTAAAATGTGCTAAGAAACAAGAGTAAATATTAACGATATGAATCTTTATTGCATGTTCTTGCCCAGATGGGCTAAATGCACAAGAGGACATGCAGTATGCAAAACATGAGTATTGCATACTGGGACGCTATATTCTAATGCTAATTGCTAGGAATTTATACATTATATCAATACTATATACTACCTATCATCTACTGTTAGTTGCCCTTTCTTCTCCATCTTCTCTATTAATATCAGACAGATTTCCTCATCCAGAATATTGTTTGTTTTGCTGCCGTGAAATTGCATCAGATGCCTTTAAGTGTGCCATTATCCTTAGCAGCTTTGGGTAGGGTATCGCTGATTGAATCCTGACCTTGTACTAGTATCAGTGGCTGTATAATTACACCCTGATTGGCTCTCGAAGTAACCTTACGCCAAACCGGGGTTGAGTCCAGCTTAGCCTGTCTTTCTTAGAAATGACTGAGGGTCTCCTTGCATCAGTTGAAGGAACATCATGGCGGGTTAATAAGGGTCAAATTGCCACATCCTTCACATGTGCTGCGGAAGACGTTTGAAAAGACAGTTCTAAATTTGTCATCAAACTCAGTGTACAGTTTATATGTAGAGCCAAATTAGGGCCAAAAGAATGGGACGTCCCACTGAATAAGTCATTTTCCAGCTACGATTACTTAAGGAAGTAAAAATTGTGTTTTGGTGTGTTTAGAATCTACTCAGAGTAACCCTTACTAAGTGAATAAATCCTCAACTCCTCCAAACGAAAAAAAAGAACATCAGTTTTGTAAGATAGGTTATAAACTTTGGTACCAGACCCATGAAAGAAAAACAAAATGAAGATATAGTTCTGAACAGCCTGTATGGAAAACAATTTAGTTGTGTTGCCAAGTATTGATCAGAGGGAAAATCTGATGAAATGTTTGCGGTTTAATTAAGGTATGACTGGAAGGTGCATCTTATTACAATCCAATAATGATGAAGTAATTATTTTGTGTGTGCTTTTACACTTTGATGTGTAAAGATTTGTGTTCAATTTATTTCAACATTTCGTCCCCACCATACAGCTTTTGAATCTAATCTAAATTATAGATTTATGTCAATTTTGAGAACAAATTCTGGGATGCTGACATGAGTGATAGCGTTGTTTGGTTCCAGGTTAGATGGTCAATTCGATTAATTGAATAAAGTATGGATCTTCCATCTTATGATATAATATCTGTCTGCCTTTTTCCACATGAGTTACATGAGTTATGGTTGTCCACATGTCCAACGGTCATCAAATTCAAAAAGGCAATGCTTATGCTAATAAAATACATTTTCCCCTTTGTACCAGCAATGTTATAGGTTGCACTTAATCTTTGACTTGGCTTTACAGTTTTAGAAATACCCATCTGCAGTCTGCATTTTGTAATATTTTTGATTTTTAAAATTGCAGAAGAAAAATTAAGCAACCTGCAATTTTATAGACAGTCGGAAAAATTAGGCTAGGGGTGGTGTCGGCATAATAAACTACTGACTCTATGCTAAGTAATTTTGCACGTTCAACATATTAAAATGTTTGCCAACATGTAATTTTGTATGGGTTTAGGTCCCATCTTATAAGACCTGGTGGGTATTTGCAGAAAGTATTTCCGAATTGCGAACAAAATTTTGACATTCTGAAAAAAATATATTTCTACCACTGCGTTATCAAGATAATAATCAATACAAATTTGTGGTATGGATACCAGCACCGCAGGGAAAAGTTGACTTACAGTACCCTAAAACAATTTGCCATTCCTCTATAATATTATCTATTATTGATTTGTCCCCACCACAACATTGCATGCCACACGTAGACACAAGTGTACATCACAACATCCTGCCTCCTGTCACCCATGACTCCAGTATGCTTCCTACATGATCAGATACAAGTGTCACCTTGTCGAGTTATTTGAACCTTGGCCAACAGCGAGGAAAGTTTGCCCGTTGGCAGTGATAGCAGGTTGCCAGCAGAGAGCTACAATATGTAGCATTTCCTAATATGATTCCGCCATCAATCATTGTGTGACAGTGATGGTCCCAGTAATTTTCAAACAACTAATCAGTAGAATCGTTGGAATGAAGAGAAGACCTTGGTGATTGGTCTGGCAGACATGCCACAGGCTCGAGCTCCATGGTTGGAGAAGTTAGGCCATGTTGATTTGATCATATGGATGACATTTGTGTGCGCATGAACTTTCATCCATTTCCAAAAAAACAAGGTTTTCAGCCATACTGTAAGTGTAAGTTGTATAAAGCAGCTGCAAAATGAGCAAATATGTGTTGTATTTTTTTTTTTCAAGAAAAGATATAGGAGAAACACACTGATATTGTAGAATGCCTAACTCAATTCCAAAGGAAAAGAAGAAAATATGAGGGAATGAAAATGAAGTGTCTATTATTCGCCATACCATATTCTGTGTGTTTAGTCATCTGTTCAACCTTCATGCCCATGTAGATGTCGTAATGAAGACAACTCTTTTTTTGGCCAAACTCTTTTTATTCCCAACAGTTTTGGGGCTCCCAGAGGATGTCATCCATAAAATCAAATCAACTTGGCCTAAGGTTTAGTCCAATTTCATGCCAGTTTCAGACAACAGATTGAATCTCCTAGAAATGAAAGCCTGGTGACTTGGAAACAGCCCTTGGAGGGATTTTGACAGGGAGAGTGGACTTTCTCTGGACGTTACCGACATTTGTATTATGGGTTTACTGTTAAGCATGTCTGTCGCAATAGCCCTGTATTGTATCGAAGTAATATCTGGCGCCATGAGTGTTATTTTGAAAATATAACTTCTAAAAGTATAATATATTTTAATTTTAGGAAGCAAAAGTTATTCTTCAGGCTGTTATTAGCTTGTGACAGTGAGTAGGGCTTGTGTAAGTAGTTGCATTATGGGCTAGTTTTGCAAGCAGTTGAAAGCCGAACAAGAATAATAGGTTCGGCTACAGCAAGGCAGGAACAACCTATCATCCCGGTCTCTGTTGTTGAAAATGCAGACCTTTCTATTCTGTACTGCCAGGCCTGTGCCTTTGGAGGCAGAATTTATCAGCCTTGAATAATGATCGCCATAGTGCTGCCTGGTGCTGCGAAGGAATTTCTGCAAGCCAACCAAAAAAAGACGGGCCATTCTTCAGCTTGGGTACCCGGGCAATTCCTGGTATTGTGGGACCTGAAAATATTTCTGTTTGGGGAGTGGTGTATGCAGTCCTTGTTTAAAGGCATCCAGTACAATTTCAGGATGGCAAAATAAGAAGAAAATATTCTGCAAGAGGAAATTTGTCAGATTTGACATTTAGTGCCATTTCTTAGCAGATTTTCATTGAAAACATTTGAAATATCCCCAAAATAAGCTATGTGAGACGTTTACTTATTTTGTGGGTACTTCCCATAAATTGCTAGAAACAACCAATGATACAAAACAAACGTTTTCCATCAGCGACATCAGTTTTTGCCACAGATTTCAGTATGCTATGGGATAAGGTTGATTCAGCTTCATTGAAAGAATGACTGGAAAATTGACTTTGAAAATCCAGTTTTGCTGCCCTGAAATTGCATTGGATGTCTTAACATACAACATTTTTTACATATAACATTTTTATCAACCATCTCAGCATATCCTGTTTGTGTTATGATTGAATGATAGCAAATGTCAGGAAGTCAACATATGAAGTAAACATATAGAAAATATGAGCATTTTGGAGTTGATTCAGAACCTGATACTTTTTTTTCACAAATGAGAAAACATGAACCGGGCAGATCCAAGAACCAATATTGTTATTGATTAAATTAAATTGGTCTGGCATTATAAGAGAAATTCCTTACCCCATGATAGTTTGAAACGGACTGGAAACACAAGACAACGGAGCTGTCAGATTCTTATCTACCTGTGTAGTGGTTCTCTTTGATGTGAGGCAGTGAACTGTGTTATACCCTTTCAGTAGAAGTTAACAGGGTTCCACTCAACTGAAGCTCATCTGTATGTGTCAGTATTTTAGAGCCACCGCACCTCTCAGGACTCAAAATACTTTATAAAACAGTTATAAGAACGAATGTACAGTAGACAAACTATGTAATCATGTTTCCAGATGTTTCAAAAAGAGAGAAGAAAGGGCAACTAACAGTAGATGATAGGTAGTATATAGTATTGTTGTAACATATAGTCTCCTAGCACTTAGCATTAGATATAGCGTTCCAGTATGCAATACTCAAATTTTTTTATCCTCTCGACCACATTTGGTCACAGTTGTGCATTTATCCCATCTAGGCAAGAACATGCAATAAAGATTCATATCATATCATATATTCTAATCACTTTTTTTTTTGCCTGTGTGCAGGTGTCCCCTTCCCTCCCAGCCACCGACTGACCATCAAGGAGGTGTTTGACCAGAATGGGAAGCCTCGGATGGACGTGCTGAAACAGCACTTCCTGCTGGAGGGCAGGGTGGACGACGCCGTGGCACTGAAGATCATCAACGATGGCGCCGAGCTCCTCAGGAAGGAGAAAACCATGATAGACATCGAGGCTCCTGTTACAGGTGGGTCCTCTCATACTGTAAATATAGAATACAACGCGGGGTATTCCGTATCGCCCATTGGTATCAGCCCGATCGCGAGTCGGATCACCCGACGGCCCCCTAAACCCTAAAATGCAACAACTTCAGTTCCAACGTCCGGATTCTGTATTCGGATTTTCGAAAGCGGCCAACGCAGTTAGGGCAAAACGCATTTGAATCGTTCTAGGGAAGCCAGGGAACCGTAAAGTATGGCCCGGTCCGGAACCCGTTATTGAACGTTATCGCGGCCCGGGTATGATATTATAAAGCACCTTATATTCGTGGTAGGAATACTAGGAAAAGTTCATGGTCGAGAAATGGACATGTTCACAGAACTATACTTCTGAGGAAGGAGAAAACCATGATAGACATCGAGGCTCCTGTTACAGGTGGGTCCTCTCATAGTCCACGAGTCACTGGTGTTGAATCTCTGAGTGGACGTGAAATCAAAAGGTCCTTTGTTCAATTCCCGGCATGCGTTTAATTTTTTAAAATGATTTATCACATTTGTGGAAGGATTGACATAACGGGTAACTACCACTTCTTCAAAGATGTCAAACCTAAGACCAGACTGTAAGGAAAATTGAGCCACAAGACCTTGCTACCCATGCTAGACATTTTTTCCTTTGGGACTGTACTTGACAAAACGTGCTCCACCCAGGTGTAAAATGGGTACCTGACTTCGGTTGGGGAGGAGAAAAGGCATTGGAAGGAAAGGGATGGGCTCTGCCTTCTGATAATGTGCCAAAGACACAGTGGATTAACAATTGATTGTCTCCACGGTCTCAAAGGCTAGGACCTTTTTAATTAGGCGTTATGACTTAAGTTATATTTTATGTAGAAAAGTAAAACCTCTATTAGATGTCTTACTTAGCGGGTTTGAAACCAAAATTTATGCTGAAAGAAATGGTGTCAGAAAAAGCCTGCTTTGTAATGCTTTGCTGCTCTTTCTGAATCCATAACAGATCAAACTGCTGTTATGACCCCAAGGTGTTTCTGAAAGCAGGCTATATATAGCTTGTAATATCTATAGCTTGAGGTAACTCGAGGCGGATACAAATGTAGGTTCATCTGTATCAATTTTTACACAAGGATATGACTTGCATACATATGCCTATGTGTCTATCATGGGAGAGCATTTGGCTGTAAGCCTAGATAGTGTTGAAATTTTGCCAAGTTGTCGTGAAATTAGTATTAGAAGTGCAGTGTGTTAAGGGTTCTTACATATTGAAACTGTTATATACTTCTGGTATTAAGCTATTATTTAAGTTACGTGCCTTACATGAAATTAGTGTGGCTGTCAAGCCTGTCAGAGAAACACCTATATCTTGTTCGTGTGTTATGATAGGAACTGCACTTGTTTTGATACACAGCATGGCAAAAATAATAATTATACTTTTAATAGTCTAGTATTAAATTGATTCTGAACATGAAAGTCAATCAATTGAAAAGTGTACAAAGTTGGGGAGGAATATGTCATTCAGAAGATTCATTGTGATTGAAGAAAAAACTTCCTAGGTTCGAAGTGGCAATGACATTTCAATTGTAAAGACTGTTGTCAGGAGAGCCACCAGGTGTCCCAAGGTGGTACTGCAGGTCCCAAAGCATTGTTAATCACCAAGGCAAGAGAGTTCTACAACATACGTAATGCAACTCAACAGTAAATATCTTGCAAAGAACTTTTGCAGGTCCAAGATGATGTGTAGCTAAATTAGGGGATTTTTCTCATTTTGTCCATAAGCAAACAGCTGAAATTTAAGAAAAAAGAACCTACCAACTCTAATATTTTCAGGACTGAAACAGGAAACACAACATCTATTTTCCTAGGCCTAATGTGGAATGTATCAAAAGGTACAAGGTGGTAGTGATGTTTATTTAGGACCATAGCTGTTTTCAATTCAATTCTTTATTTCATACCAACGTTGCAGACATACAAAAATATATAATGTTGCCTGGCATTGGTATTTACAGCATAACAGCATTGAAATAAATACATAACATTTATTACATACATATACTATTAGACATACTATTAAATATATACACTACTTAAGTTATATGAACAGTGCATCCCAGATATGACACGTTTATACAGTCTGATTGTAGAGTCTGATAGACTGATGTAGGAACGAGTTCTGGAGTCTTTTTGTTCTGGCTGGGGGGATGGAGATGGTGTTCTTGTTCCTAAGAGTTATTGATATATTATTGATATATTATGAATAATGGTTGGATGTAATGTTTTTTTCAGTATGTGGTGACATCCATGGACAGTTCTATGATCTGATGAAGCTGTTTGAAGTTGGGGGAAATCCTGCCAACACCAAATACCTGTTCCTGGGAGACTATGTGGACAGGGGGTACTTCAGCATAGAGGTAGGGCATCTTTTCTGAATTATTGTCAGGATTCAAATTCAAATTTTTTATTCGGTAAGGCTCTCGCGGGCGAATACCCGAATTTCGTCCTTATTACATAGTACATAGAGCATTAAAAACAATGATTTGTGACACTCTTCATTGTGCACATGAAACAACATAGGCACACACACTATCAAGGCATATTCGAAGACGATTACACAATTAAAATCTATGCACAACATGCAGTTATCACAGAGATATAACATATATAACACTACTGCTGAATTGGGGGATTGGACAGGTACAGTTGCCTGCTTGCCTGGGACAAGTAAAAGCACCTTTCAAGCAAGTTCATGTCTCCAAACTGTTTATTGTCAACTTGACGACTGAAATTGTCCACAGTTTGCAGCCACATGAGTGGCTGAATTGATGTAAGGACATTACAATGATATACAAGAAGTAGACGTTCAGAATTACAACTCACACAAAGACACTTTAAAATACAGACTAAAATAATGCATTAAAATGCAGGTAGGGCATCTTTTCTGAATTATTGTCAGGATCATTGGACAGGTACAGTGGCCTGCTTGCCTGGGACAAATAAAAGTACCCTTCAAGCAAGTGCATGTCTCCAAACTGAAATCCTTGTGTAATTTTTCACTAAAAAAGATGCCATGAAAAAAAATGAGACTTACTGTATGCTGTGAAATATGATCTGATTTTTGTGTTTTAGGTAAGGTTGGTCTGTATTGAATAATTTCCTTCATCTGAGTTAAGACAGACAAATAAGAATGTTTTTTTATTTTCATCTGCATTTTTGAATGTTTGTTTCCAGTGTGTTCTTTATCTGTGGGCTCTGAAGATGCTCTACCCCACAACACTATACCTGTTGAGAGGCAACCACGAGTGCAGGCATCTCACAGAGTACTTCACCTTCAAACAAGAGTGTAAGTCTTACCGTTACATTTCATCCAAACAAAATGGATTCAATTTGTGCTCTTTATTTGTAACCTTTAATTTGAAAAAAAAAAACTGCTAGGAATGAGAAAGGGAGACAAGTTGAGCCTGTCACTAGTTAGCGTCCTCTGGACCAAGAGGTAGGGAGTTCGAATCCAGGTGTTGTCGCTCACCCGACATGCATGCTACCGGAAGGGTTGTAGTCCTTAGGACGGGACCTTGAGTTGTGGTCCGCTGTTCATTGTGCTTGTCGAAAAAAGCTAGGGAAATTTCTCTGGCACAATGAACCTGTAAATACTGTACATACTGTGTCTGTCTTCTCTGCTAGGAGATTAGCTCTTCAGTGAGCTGAAACTGGATTGAGATCACTGTTTTCTTTTTCATACGCAGATTTGTTGACTAACAGTCTTGTGCCCCTGCAGGTAAAATAAAGTACAAAGAGGAGGTGTACGATGCCTGTATGGATGCGTTTGACTGCCTGCCCCTGGCAGCCCTGATGAACCAACAGTTCCTGTGTGTGCACGGCGGCCTGTCCCCAGAAATACACTCGCTGGACGACATTAGAAAGGTTGGGATATCTTCAGGAACTTTTCATGTGGATTAGATGATACTAGGGATACTGCTGTATACCGGTTCACTGGACTTGGATCCGGACTTGTAAGAATGTTTAGGTTCAAGCCCAAAAAAACCTAAAAGTCAAGAACTGAGTCCGGACTTATTACCATAAAAGACCATTTCATGTACCCCTTTCCTTTCCTTTCCAAACCGCCTAAAACCTTCCGTAGATTGCAAAATCTTTGCGGCAAAATGAAGAAAACATTGCCATTGGGCATTGTTAAGTACCGGCCTTCATATTATGTGGCCAAAGTTTCACCCAGACAACATTGCAAGGTTGCCAACATTTTGTATATGCAATGGGTTAAGTGTGGACTTACAAGTCCGGAACTGAACCTAAACCTCTGGACTTGAATATGGACCTGAACCTAAATGTGGTTTTAGGCATGCAGCACTAACTAGGGAATGAGGACTTGCTATAAAAGTTGTCAAAATGTTAAAATAATGGTACCACTGTGGGGTGTTTTGATGATCTTACATGAAAGAAATTATTTACCTTCATACTTTATGTTTGGAATCACATTGTTGTAACATTTAACTTCAGTGTACAGTGAACCAGTAACATCTTGGTTCAGTACACTTTGAACCCAGTCAATTGCCTTGATAAAGATGACAGATGGTCATCGAAATGTCAGTTGTGAATAACGAACTTCGCTATTCAACACTATAGCAGTCTTTTGAAAATGACAGAATAACTCAGTAAAATGTTTTTGTGTTTTTTCTCCAGTTGGACAGATTCAAGGAGCCGCCGGCATTTGGCCCCATGTGTGACCTGCTGTGGTCAGATCCATTAGAAGACTTTGGTAATGAAAAGAATGCAGAACACTTCAGTCATAACAGCGTTAGAGGATGCTCCTACTTCTATAGGTGAGACCAAATATGTCACAACAAGCTGCTACAGAGAACAGGGCTCGAAATCCATTTTTGGGAATAGGTGCACTGGTGTACCCAACCTAAAAAAAATTGGTGCACAAAAAATTTTTTGGGTGCACCATGTAAGATAAAGCAAGGAGAATGTCAGCAAAAACTAATTATGTTTCTAAAGAAACGTACTATAACAACAATATATTTAATCCATACCTATGGTATGGACTGAAATATAATGACACTTGGGTGTTATTTACTTAAGAATATATATTACTAACTATACATTGAACATCTTTATTTTAAGCCCTGGAGAAGGAAACTTTGAAAGCATCCAGTGTAATTTCAGGGCAGCAAATGACTTAGAAAATCCAGTTTTGCCGCCCTGAAATTGCATTGTATGCCTTCAACGCAATAAGAAAGTATTTTAAACAGTATTACCCAAACGCTAACATATGCCTGGACCTGTATTGAGTTGCTTGTTACTCCGTGAAGGAGGTCAGGACCTCCGGACGGAGTGTTGTGAACGGCTGGTTTTTCGTGTTCGCAGTCAAAACACTGGGTTCTCTTTGTGTAATCGGCACGGAATTTTATACGCCGTCTGCGGGCATGCCCGTGTTGATGCACGAATGTGTATTTTTGCCATCGCTGCTTTCGCAGTCAATGTAATGTTTAAGATAGCTCAAAATTTAGTAGACAACAGCAAACCATTGTAATTTAAAATTGGACAGCCATTTATTTATCATTAAGAATTGGGACATAATATTAAGGTTGAAGGCAATTGAGCTACAAGATGACTTCACCCCCTTTTTTAATGACTTGATGTTTGTAAGATTTCAACCTGACCATCTCTGTTGTGTTACTCCTCAGCTATGCGGCAACTTGCGAGTTCTTGCAACAGAACAACTTGTTGTCAATAATTCGAGCACATGAAGCGCAAGATGCAGGGTGAGTTCTTAAAATAAACATTGTACATTTCTTGCAAAGTGTGATTTTTTAAAAATGAATACAGGGCTCGAAATACTTTTTTCTGCATACTTAAACTACCATACGTGCACAGGTATAGGTAACATTGAAAATTACCTGCACCAGACAAATTTTACCTGCACTACTCAGACTTTTGAAAGTATGGATCATTTTAAACACTTCAGAAACTTCTGCTGTTATTTCTTTTGCACTTCATAGGTGATAACTGCCAATGCAGCAATTAAAACTCCACATACAAAACCCTCATTTGCTGTATGTTTTGACAGGTTGTAATATTTTCTTTGATATGTAATATGTGTACAACAGTACTTCAACATTTTGCACATTTTATTTGACAAAACGATAGCTTTGAGAATTGAACTTAAAGGAGTTGAAACTATTTTGCTAATAGGTAGACTTGAGCTCTGAGCCTCATATCCCTTTTTTAAATCTTTTCACTGCAGGTATCGAATGTACAGAAAGAGCCAGGCTACTGGTTTTCCTTCACTTATTACGATTTTCTCTGCACCCAACTACCTAGATGTTTACAACAACAAAGGTGGGTAGCTTTCAGAAAACAAAAATAGAGCATAGAAAAGTAGAATCCAAACAGTCAGCAGACCTATTAAATCCTCCATTGTTTATTTTCATGTTGCAGTTTTCCTCTGGGCAAGATTTTGCAATAAACCTGTTATTATTTATAACAAAAACATGGTAAAAGATGATAAAAAAACTGTCATGCCTTTGCACTAAAGAAACCCCATACTATCCCTTGACATGTATGTTGGAGAAGGTTAAACATCCAGGTAATAATATATGCCACAGTGTCGCAGAAGTTACCTGAAACATCAATCATATCCAGTTGCTTGAGTAACTATTTTTTTGGCGACACTTAACATTGTATCTTTGTCCCTACAGCTGCTGTATTGAAGTATGAAAACAATGTAATGAATATCCGGCAGTTCAACTGCTCGCCACATCCCTATTGGCTACCCAACTTCATGGATGTGTTCACCTGGTCCCTGCCGTTTGTGGGGGAGAAGGGTAAGTCAAAACTTGTCAAACACCAAGTATCTGGTACGCGAGTAACTCGCTCAACTACAAGTGGGCACCCATACTTTTAAGTGCCAAGATCCAACACCCAGCTCCACATGTCTTCATATGTACATTTGTACCAAGGACTAGCAGGCTGTGGAACTCCTTACCAGCCTTGGTCTTCCCTGACAGTCCTAAATTGTCTAAGTTCAAGACTGCTGGAAATAGATTCTTGTTTAACTCATCTTAGAGATTCTCTACTTTTTGACAATTATGTACCATGCAATTATGTATAATGTTCTTGATAGTGTGGGATGGAATGCGCTGTGTACTTAAGCAAGGGGAATTGATGTGATATTATATTGAACCAAAAATCATCAATTTACGATGTTAAGATCAGGTTCACTTTGCACTGATTAGAAAAAAAAACACGTGGAAACCTCTATAAGCTTGGGATCAGGCCTTAATGATCGATTTTTCTCAGTCCCTATTTTGTCACCATTTCTTTCACTTGCCTAAGCCGACCACGACTGGTAATATTTGGCCGCACACATGGCCCAAAACATGTCAGTTATTTCTTCTTCTTCTTCTTCTTGTTACTCTCGAAAAACCCCTACTGGGGTATCACTGAGAGGGGGGTTACGACGGACTATGGCTGCGCGGCCAGGAGTCCGGCCTTAGAGGCCTCCACTGTCTGGGCTTGTACTAACTGTCCCGTCAGCTTATTCCACTCTTTTATTGTTTGTGGAAAAAAAGAAAATCTAAAACAGTCTGTTTTGGTAGATATTACTTGATATTTATATTCATGACTTCCTCTGGTGCGTTTGTGGGCAGGTTTAAGATATTGTTCTCTTTGAATATTAATTTTGATCTCTCATTTCTGATCTCTGAGCAGATGGACAATACCGGAAGAAAGAAAATATGTAAATGAAGCAAGTGTTATTACAACTCGTTTTGTTGTCTTCCCCACAGTTACAGAGATGCTGGTGAATGTGCTAAACATCTGTTCAGATGATGAACTCATGACAGAGGGTGACGACACCTTTGAAGGTAGGGAATCAACGACAACCGCTGCTCCCTTTTACCGTATGCTTGTCCCAAGTGAAACTGTCTGGCTATGGGTTTATGACATAAAGGATGCCTTTCAAAAACAACCTGTTGAAGGACTATGAAAGTGACATGCTGGAGCACTAGTCTTTTTTTTTTATTCAAACCTTAAAGACAGTATTACAGCACAAACTGGTAACGCACTCAAGTTACTAAGACTTATTTTTACGCTGCCACTTGCATATATATACATATACCAAAAACATAGATTGTTATGAAATGAAATTCAATATAATTGAAATACAAAAAATAGCCAGACAGTTCTGCTTGTTGGAATCACTTTGATGTTATATCTTCCTCCCCATGTAGGAGCTTCGGTATCGTGTATAAATGTGAAGCGCCAACTTTTCTCTCTCTCCTGACTTTCTGCTCTCACCGTTGTGTTTTTCGTATGCATGTTCTGTTCTCTGTTGGAGCTGTTTTTTTTCGACCCAGGAAAAAATCTCCCCTCTACTTGCTATCACCTTCTCAGAGTATCATTGCCTAGTCATCCTTCCTCCACCTGGCCTTGTTTTAAACCAAATTCCAGGATAGCTTGGAACTAATGTAGTTGTACAGATTTGGTTTCAAATTGTAAAAAGAGCTTTCTTCTAAGTACAATCCTTGTTTCCTATAACAAAATATTCTGATTTAGAAACCTTTGTCTGAAGATAATTAAATATATCTGTAGTGCAGTGTTCCAGCTAGCATCCATGTTTCTGTCATTTGACAGAATTTTTCGTGCCTTGAAGGACAAAAAATGCCCAACCCGTCATCTTTGACAAAAAATCAGTGTGTAAAGATAAGGAAAGCAATGTCATTAAACTAAGCTTACCCTACCAGCAAAGATCTGCCCCTCAAAATGCAGGAAATAGCATTTCAGAGGGTCAAGATTTCAAGTCTCGACATGATGTTACATCAAACAATATCGAGAAGGCCAAAAAAAAAAAAACCTGGCTAGCTAGAACACTGCTGTAGTGAGAGTACCATAATAATGGAGCGTTTGTACATCTGTTTTGTCCCTGCCATGTTGGACCACCTTAACGTCCATACTTCATCTCTTCTTCCACATTGCTCGTTGTCCTCCCACCAGGTCTAGACCTGCCCAATGGTAAGTTGTATGTTTCCCTTCCCTTCCCTCCATCCCCACATGTTCCTCATGGGGTGTGACAGCTGTGGGTTTTTGTTTTTGTTTTTATTTACTTCAGATTCACCTCAAAACAAGGCTCATGAGAGCCACTTACATGTTTTGGGTTACAGTGATGACTGTGTGGTCAGATATTTGTTCACCCTTGATTTAAACCGTTGGAGGTTGTAATTAGCGGTGAAACATTCACGGGGAATCTTGTTCCACAGTGAAGTGGTTTTGGGGAAGAAACTGTCAGCATGAAATTTTCTCTTGACTGCTCTCCTGGAAAATACATAGTGACAGTTACAAATCTGGCCACATCCTGATCTTACAAGATTGCTTGCAGCCAAGCAATGTTTCAATGTTGAGAAAAAACAGAAGAATTTCACATTCTGTTTGTTGTCAGATTTAAAAGTCAGTTAATTTTGAACACAAAAGAAGTCAAAAGTGTGTCATGTTCTGACCTCCTTGCGCTATGCAACCTGGGAATGGCAAAAAAGTGAATGAAGAGAAGAAGATCATAGGGATGCTAATGTACATTCTCATTCAAATAAAGTGATCTTTTGTCAAATGTGTATCCAAAAAGAAGTGATGACATTAGCACCTTAACTTGCCAAGCAAGTTTTTCAAAATTAAATGAAAGGCTTACCTCAATATCTTAAAACTTTGGCTGTAACAAAATTTTCTCTGCACCATGCAATGTTTTCCATATTGGATAGACTAATTTGCTGCGGTTATAGCTTGTATAAAGATTTGTGTTTTAATCTTGGTAGGCTTCACGGTTGTCACACCTCCAAGGAATATGCTTCAAGTAGTCATTGCTTGTTTTTTTCTCTCCTTAGACTTGTCTGTCTTCTGTCGCTAAAGAGTGAAGGCCCTTAACACTGTGTTGCTTTGTTGCTGCTCTTGATTGTTCTACGCTGCACGAATTTGACTGTCCTTCGCTTTTACCCTGTGTGCTTTTGTAGCCAGGACAGTCGTGAATGGTATTTTCCCCACTGTTGCTGTGTTGACCATGGCTGTATATGTACCTGCTTGTTGTGTTGAAGTTTGTGCAGTGTTGGTTGAAGTGATTCTGCTGTGCTGTAACACCAAAGGGTCTCCATACAAAAACATTTGTACAAAAACACTTGTACACAAAGGTACCTAAAATGATATTATTATATATCCTGTACTTGTTACAAAGTCTCTACTGTTGCGTGTCACTGATATCCAATTGGGTAAGTGTTTTTGTATGAAGACCTTTGCTGAGTTTGATAATAAATAAACATCAAGCATTGGTCACTTTTACTTTGGAGTGACACTTGGGATTTGGAAAATCTAATCAACACTGTAAGCCAAGAATATCTATAATTGGAAGTAAGCATAATTGTTGTATTTAGAAGTGTACAGTACATGGACTTTCAACAAGTAGAACTATGTGTGTGGCTTAGAGTTAATTGAATTTTCCAATCTTAAGTCTCATTCCAAACTTTAAGTGACCAGTGCTTGATGAGTATTTATAGTTTTCTTTTAATTTTGCTCAAGCATTACCATACAAATGAACTATACTGTGATTTTAGTGTAATTCAAATTGTTATTGGGAAATCAAATTGGAATAAAATGGTTTAATGTCGATAATGTATATTATGATGAACAATCACCATTGCCATATAATAACTGTGGCTCAGATGAACTCCACAGTTTCTGAATTAACATGCCATTCTTGTCCACCTCACTAGCGACAGATTCGGACGATGGGCAAGGTAAAAAAAACTACCTAAGGACTATCTAGACTCAAACTATGTAGCTGTAAAGTGTTCTTTCATAGGAGGGTTGACTGAAAGCTTTCTTTCACAAGGCAATAAAACCTTCTCAGAATTTAATTTGTGGTGTTATCAAATTTGACTTTCACTCAGGCATCATTTAAATGCCACAGTTACCTAAAGATGAACTTTCACAAATACCAAGTCTTCATCTTTGTAATAAAAAAGGAATTGAAATGTCATATTTCTTCTTGGGAAATAGCAACAACATTTTCCTGACTAGAATTATACCTGGCTCACTCATTGTTGCCGACTTGCTACTTCTGACATTTTGTACCAAGTGAATTGCATGATATTGATATACCCATAACTGTCTTCCTATTATGAATTTTTTAGAGCGCTTTGTCCTCTGATTTCTAGTAAGTTTGTGAACAAAAAATCTGTTTTTGTGCATTTCATTGCCAGATTTTGTCTACTAAGCATTTTGACTTGGAAGGAATTCTTTGCTGTTGTTGTAAATAATATGCAAAGAAGACTTTTCAGATTGAAGGCATGAACTTTTACTCCCAAAATACTGCCATGCAGGAAGATAGGCATGGGGTATGAGTATTTTGCATGAAATGCAACGAGTGAGTAAAATGTTAACACCAACCTAATACTGAATTTGTCATATTGTGAGCATCTCTCCTGGAAGGAACACTTGACAAAATAATCCTCTCACTTCTCTTCTATAACCCCTTACGCCAAGACCACATCTTCTTACTCCATCCTATGGTAACGGTGTCACCGAATAATAAGGTTCTGCATGCTTCACATTAATTGTCACCCATTGCATGATTATTGCCTCCCCCCAGACGCATACAACAGTATGAGTCTTACCTTGAGCCAGGCTGCTAGGCAGGTTACTACTGCTACTACTGATGAGGGTAAGGGTATCTGGGCCCTGCGGATAACCTGGTTTGAGTTGTGTGTTTTGGCCTGCGGTTGAGCTAACAGGCTAACTCCACTGATGATGTTATGAGGGCACTGCAGAACAGAACAGTCCTCTGCCAAGTGGAATTGTGTCACTGCTTCTGACCACTAGAATCAGGATATTCAGTCATCGATGTTTCCCTGAAATCAGTCAGAGCATTTCTAAAGTGGCTCCTTCTTTAATCAAGCAAACAGTTAAAATGTACATGATCATATTAAATAATACGTTCAACTCTAAGGGGCTGGACCCATGATAAGTTTTCAGAAAGAAAAATGAAAATGCTTTGAGTGGTTGATCTAATCCATAAGGGGGCAAACCCCACTTTTTTTGTTTGTTTTTTTGTTTCCTTTCAAGGCTACACACCGTCTCTTCTAGGAATGATCTGGAAGCAAAACAACTATTAACTAATTATTAAGTATATAATTGCCAGATGGAAGGATATCCTCTCAGCTACAAGACCACCTGACTTTGTTTCTTCAATGTCTTAAATTTTTAAATTTTATACACAAAATTGGGAATTTTCACGTAGGATAATTCCATATTAAAAATTTCCAGCAGAAATGACTTGGCAAAAAGACACAAACCTTGAGTGTACTTGAGCCAATTATGAAGTAAATCCTAGTAGTACTACATGTAGTACTAAATTCTTGTAATCATCATCAAGTTATGTATTTTATGCCATGCTATACATTTTTATTCGTGTATTTTTTAGCAATTGTCAAAGCTGCTTAATTTAGCCTCTCGGCTGCAAAAAAGCTTCCAACTTACTGTAGTATGTATGAAGTATGTTTTTTTTTGCAAATAAACCAGTCATATATCCATGGTGCAAGGGTTCATGATTGGTGCAAGGACAGTTACACGTTGGGTTGGTTTAACAACTTCAATCCTGTTGAAGTCAAGTTCATACTGGTCAAAGCTGTGACACAAAACCCTTGAGTAGACTTGCAGTGTCTTGAACTAATCTGACTGACATTTTTAACAGTTTGAGTTGATTTTCATTAATATTCTTCTCATGCACTATATTTTACTGAAAAGGTCTGAACAAAATGAAATGGCTGATCTCAAGTTCATGTGTTTTGTAACAACTAACCAGAAGTAGTGCAGAAAAAAAAAACATTATGATTTTGGTTCTGAACTCATGAATATGCTAGATAGGAAGTAGCTGGCCTGTAGTTTCAAAAAACATTTTTCTCGTGTGATCCTAAATGTAGTCATTTTTTTCAAGTAAACAAGTCTCATGTAGTTGACAGCTATAGTCTAGTTTGCATTATTGGCAAAAAAAGCTTTTGAAATGTCATTTAGTGTTGAAAAAGATGAAAATCTAGTCTTTTTCTCGACGCCCACAACATTTCTCATAACATTTTAAGTGATGTTAATCACTCGCTTAGTGCCAAGTACCATTTAAAACATTCTTAATGACCTGTTGAAATGTTGTAGTGTTTTTAGTAGCTTTAAAAACTAGTACCAAGCGCACAAAAACCTCCCCTTAGTTCTAACACAATGTAGAAGCTTGCTTGCATTTTTTTTTTGGTTCTGCATTTTTATTGGATGTGTATAGAAACAAGGAATTTGGAGGGCCTGTACTGATTGAATTTCTTTCCAGGCGGTTCTGTCAGAGAACGGAAGGAGATCATTAGGAACAAGATCCGAGCAATCGGCAAGATGGCCAGAGTCTTCACTGTATTACGGTAATTTCCATTAACAGTCTGTACTTGCCATGAAAGCATCATGATGTTGGATTGGACGTATCTGTCCAAACTAGTTGGTGAGGAGGTTCTTCAAATGTACATGTGGTTCAGTTCAGTAATTTTCCTCCTCAACATTAGGCCATGCTGGTTTTATGATATATCCATACAAGCCACTAGGGGGTCCAAAATCTCATCATTTCTAGATCTCATCAAGACCTACCCACCTACCAAGTATCAAGACAATTCATTTAAGCCTTCTCAAGTTATCGTATCTACAGACACACACACACACACACACACACATACACACACACACACACACATACACGAACGCCTCTGAAAACATAACCTTCTTGGCGAAGGTAATAATCAGCATGGCCTAATGACATTCTCAAAACTGATGTGAGCGTGGGAATGAAAATAAATGTTTCGCAAAAGAAAAGTCTTCATTATGAAAGCTACGTGGTCTAGTGGGATCAATTTTTTGCATGTCGGCACATAGGGTGGCATATGTACAGCATCATCTCAAAGTAGATGTAGAGGAACATACATGTATCTATAAACATTTCCAAGCACATGTAGGATTGTAAATGTAGAGAGTTATCTCCAAGCAGATGTTGGTGGCATCCATGATCTGACTATTGAGTCATCTTCCAGCAGATGTAGAGTGGCATACCTATAAAGTTATTTCCAAGCAGATGCTGCAGGGTTGCATATGTAAGATGTACAAGTTCTAGTGATGCATACCTAAACCCAATTTTAGGTTCAGGTTTGGATTCAAGTCCAGAGCTTTAGGTTCAGTTCCGGAGTTGTAAGTCTGGACCTATACCCATGGCATATACAAAATTGCATGTTGGCAACCTTGCAATGTTGTCTGGGTGAAACTTTGGCCACACAACATGGAGGCTGGTACTTGATGATGCCCGATGGCAATGTTTTCTTCATTTTGCAGCAAAGATTTTACAATCTACGGAAGGTTTTAGGTGGTTTGGAAAGAAAAGGGGTATGTGAAATGGTCTTTTATGGTAATAAGTTTGGACTCGGTTCTTGACTTTTAGGTTTTTTTGGACTTGAACCTAAACATTCTTACAAGTCCGGATCCAAGTCCAGTGAACCGGTATGCATCACTAGCTGAAATGCCAGCTTTTTGTAAAAGCACTTGTTTCTGTTCTACCCAAACTTCCTAGAGAGGAGAGTGAGAGTGTCCTGCATCTGAAGGGACTGACCCCCACTGGGCAGCTTCCCCTCGGGGCTCTGTCTGGAGGGAAAGACACGCTACAAAGTGGTATGTACCAGGCACCTACACCGCTCACAGTTAGGGCCGGTTAATGCATGCAGCCTTCTCTTGGTTCTGTATATTTAATATGCATAATTATCCTTCTATGACATTGATTGTTGCAATCTATGCTTAATCATGTTGAATTTGCATGAGTTTTTTTTTGTTTTCATTTTCATCATACTGAGTTTATACTAGTGGAAATAAGATATATATTGAAGCTATAGTTGACCACATAACTTCATGATTCATCAGAGGAATAAGTAGCTCTTGCTTCTTTCTTTTCTGCCATTTGTTTCAATTTTTTGTTTGTTTTTAATGGTAGAAATATGTAGTTTTTATTATGACAAGGACGACAAACACTAGTACTTGTAGTACTTCTGAAAATTGCTGAAATCCAGAGTGTGGAGTTGTTAGGGTGTGGCAGAAAAGCACTCAGAAGTTGTGAAATGACCTTGGATGGGATTTTGTGAAGGAATGTTCTCTTTTCTCCTTATTCTTGAGCTTGTTCAGGAATTGCTGAGCAGGAAGGTACTTTTCCCACAGAATTACTCACCATTTAGGGGTAGCCACAAGTTTTCCTGAACAGCAAAAAATTGAGTAGGCGAAAGAAGAAAAAAAAATGACAGTAGAAGTAGCATAAAAGGTCATGTAACTGTAGTTGTAGTATCTGTAACAGTAGAAGTAGAAAAACAAAGTAGCTGTGTACGTAGAGTGGTTTGTATTTTTGCTTCCCCAAAAATGGTATTTAGGAAAGTGAATGTTTTGGGCACAGTAATTTGTTGTGAAGATTCAAGTTAGTAGTTGGTGTTCTTGTGTTGTTTATTATCAATATTAGGAAGCATCAAGGTTGTGTGTTGTCTAATATTCATAGTTCCATTTTGTTTATAAATGCAACATGACTGAAAGCATACTTGATATCAAGAAGTGTGCCAAAGCACATCAATCAATCAATCAATCAAAATAGGTTTATTG